TCTGTGGACAATCACCTCCAGGATACAATGATCAAATAAACCAATTGTGCAGCAATCACAAAAGGTTTTCAGAACTTTCAAGTGTACTCCAAAAATGTGTAAAATTAAGAACAATATTTTTATTTTACTGTATAGAAATATATAATCTCGTTTTTCCTTATAATTTTCTAATACCCAAAAGTGTGTTTACATAGGCAGAAAGAGATGTAACTTCTTCCACCATGATCTAATATTAAGTTACAGATGTAATGGCCAATGGTAATGGGTATTAATATTGGGCAGTTAAAACAGTTATATTCTATTAGCTAGTTGACACATTAAATAATTCCAAAATTGATTAAAAAATAATAATAATTTTATTAGAATCAATAAAACCCAAGGCCCAATCAAAAACTTTTTAATATAGCGCGTGAGGCGTGGCTCGAACACCTGACCTCCCACACAAATTTCCCACTTTTCACCAGTTGAGCACTTCATCTTAATTAGTTATTTCTTTCACATATTATATTTATTGTATAAATATATAATACTAATATGATTGGAAGTTGCAACTCAATTGGTTTTGTATTACCCACGCGTTTGGATAGTGATGTGATTCTAGTGTTAGAGTCCTCCTAGAACGAGGTAACACATTCTTAGAAGGACTTTGCTTCCTAGGGTGTCCTAACACGAAGTAGGCTCCTAATAAGTTAGGGATCTCATGGTTCGAGACTTCGGTAGCGAAAGAGCAGCTGGATCGAAAGTACCCGAGCTCGAGGACCATAAACCTGAGGAGATCGTGAGAATCTGTCATAGATGGGCCCGACATCCTCTAGTTTAGTGATTGGGTTTAGTAACATCAAAATTGGTATCATCATGATGTATTCTACATCGAACACTTGCGATTACACACAGCCACGACAACTCGATTAAGGAAAAGAGGTAGAGGACCAACTTGCTACTAGAACTATAAGTTGGAGACTAATGCTACAAATATCCATTTTTCTGTATTATCTTCTTGAAATAAGATTTCACACATGCGAGGTTGATAGCCTCACAATCAATACGATACAATCCAAACCAATAATTTTCTTGGCCAAGGAGAGGATACATCTTTATTTAAGAACTATCGCTATTCTTAAGTTTTATTTTTATAATGAATTTAATATTGACGATTTTTATGGTTCAAAAGTTGCTACAAGGACACCTGTTGATTGGTATCAGAAGAAAAATGAATAGATGAAAAAATCTTGGTTTCTCATTTATTGATTGAAAGCAATGTGACCAATTGACTCAATTAAGTAAGTAATCAAAGTGGATGGATATGAATGTGGTTGGAAGAAGGATTGATTGTTAGACAAATTTTCACTTTTTTTTCTTTTTTTTGGTACCCACGTGTTTTTGCATAGTTTGTGTACTTGGACGATCAATTTGAAACAAAATAAAACTAGTACCAACAAGAAATTTTGCTTGAAGTTTGATGAATAAAAACATGTTCACAACTATAACAATTCAAATTAGATTGAGTAATGATATCTAACTCCATTGATGTTTAGTATCAATTTAGGTGGCAATGAATATAGCATTAAATTATAGATTCAAATGCAAGAAAATATGATCCATTTAATTAGACTTGTCATTTATTGTCACCTAAACTGGTGTTTTAGTTCTCGAACTTTGAATTTCTTGCAATTTTGCCATTTTTCGTTTTTTTTTCAATTCCAGTCATTTTTATCGATCTTTACCTAACAAACACAATTTACATGGAATTAAGTCATAATTCATTAAAATCTCCAATAAATACTCTAATTTAACAGTCTAAATAAGTGTAGAAGATACACTTATCAACTCCAAGTTCTGATAATTTATTTTTTAGCATTTGCAACTCGTCAAGTTTGAATATTGACAGAATGTGCCTCGAGTGCGTAAATGTGTGTGTGGATGATATGTTGTTAATAAGAGAAAACATAAATGATATTAATGACATTAAAAGATCTTTAAGTGCGGAATTTGAAATGAAAGACTTAAGCCATGCCAAAAGATTTTTAAGAATGGACATGTAGAGAAATAGGTTTCAATAGACTCTTATCTTAACTCAATTTGACTGTGTGAGAAAGTTATTGTCTAAATTAGCCGTGCACGAATCTAAGTATGTTACTTTTCCTCTTGCATATCATTTTAAATTAAGTAAAGATCAGTGTTCTCATAATGAATCTGATATTAAATATATGCAAATGTTGTAAGATCTGTCACGCATACGATGGTGTGTACTAGACTTGATGTTGCCCATGCTATAAGTATTTTGAGCAGGTTCATGGCCAATCTTGCCCAAAACATCAGACTGTCTTAACGTGGCTATTAAGGTACCTAAAAGGATCTTCTAACTTAGGTTTGTGTTTTAAATCCTGTAAAGAGGGAGTTATTTTAAAAAGGTACGTAGATTCTAACTATGCGGATAATAGGAACAATAGAAAATTAACTACATCTTATATGCTTACTTTGTGTAATACTTGTATAAGTTGATAGTCTCAATTGCAAGCTATTGTTACCTTTTCTATCAATGAAGCTAAATATGTTGCTGCTATTAAAGCCATTAAAAAGTCTTTATGGCTTAAATATTTATTATGTGAATTAAATGAATTTGCTAACAATGTAGTTTATTCCGATAGTCAAAGTGTCATCCATTTATGCAAAAATCCTGTTATTCAGGAAAGAACTAAAAATATAAATGTCAGGATGCATTTCATTATAGGTATAATTCAAAAGAAATCTATATTACTTCAGAAAATCCTTACACAATTCAATCCAGCAGACATGAAAATCAAAGTACTTCCTCTCAACAAGTTTAAATCTTATTTACGAATGTTAAGAATTGATGCTGGGTAATCTTTGTGATGATGCAGGAACAATTAACCCGGTGCTGATGATCATGGTAGAACTGATACTTAGGCTGTGTCTGGGAACACTTTTTCAAACCAATTAAAATCATTTTTATAGCCGTTAACAGCAAACCAACAGCAATAATTGACTGCTCCACTCACAGCTGAGGCCCAGAAATTGACTGCAACGATCCAATTTTTCCATTGCAACGGTTGGAATTACAATTAAAATTCCAACCAGACGTATGCTTAGTTTCTTGAAGGGTTCATTCTCATTTTGATCATTGACATCAATGGAGAGATTTGTTGGGGTTGTGATGTCATAAAGGGTCCAGTCCATTGGGCAATGATAAAATATGGGCTCGACCCATTTAGTTGCTGATTCATTGCTCGATAACACAAAAGGAAGAGGCCCAAACCTGAGCCCAATATAAGGGTATAATACGTGTGCTGCTCTGGACCGTTCGATCGCTCACTTGAAATCAATGGTGATGACGGGTTGTATATAAAGGACATGAGTGGTTGCCCTACTTGATTTTTTCATCCGATTTCTCTAGAGTTCTCTCTCTCTCTCTCAATCCCTTCCCGTTCCTTTCGTCTACTTTGTGTGATCTCCTAAATTTTTGGTTTTGGAGTGGATCTTTGTGAAGATAGAGTTTGTGCGGTTCTACGATTAGAAAGGTAGGATTGAGATCAATGTGGTGTGTCTTGGTTCATTGAAATAGCTGTGTAATACTCTTTGGGGTTAGAAATCTGTGATCTTTTCTTTTGTACAGAAGGATACAATAGTCTACAACGATTGATTCTTTGATGCTAATGCTTCTTTTGGGTTTGTGACACTAAAGTGTGCCTGTGTTTTCTTTGATTTCTAGTTATTACAAAATCAATTCCCAATACCTACTAGGCAGAATTTCTAATGACAGATTTCTGTTCAAAGCAAGAAAAATCCAAGAGCTTCCAATGGAAGCTAGTACAAATTGGTAAAAACGCAACAATTAACAAACTAGGAATTACTAAAGAGTTAACTCGACCAGATAGATTTAAATCCCGATATCAGAATCCACCAAGGAAAGCTATACACTGAAGAATGTAAGATACATTTACTGAATTTAACCTCGAAAAGGGAAATATTAGACGAAGCGGGAACTCGATAAATAACACACTCTTTCTGATTAGCGATTAGAGCCTGGAAGCCCTCGAATGTACAGTAGAAGATTACAACTCGAAAATAGTAAAAATACAGAAACAACTTCACTCACTCACATAGCTTCACCTGATCAAAAGAATGATGATAAATATAAAGAATTAAACAAGGATACTCCCTAAAAAAACCCGCATCCAAGCTATTCTCATATAACAAATAAAAAATTGATTTCTTTTTTGATCTAACATAATATATTACTGTAAGTTGAAATTTTGAGTGTACTGGGTGTGTTTGTTCAGGCGTAGTTTCCTCATCGACAGTTAGAAAAAACGCATATGAACTCCTGCATGGAAAAAAATGACAAGAAGTATTAAAAGACAAACATAGTTATCGAATAAATGAGAAAAGTGACGCTTCAATACTCGATTTTGATATGAAACTAACTAGTCCGCAGTATGAATCAATCTATTTTTGGTACTTCAGTCTCCTCAGCAAATCGACCATTATGGCAATTACAAAGAACATTAGTCTTTCAGGCATTAAGCATGAATTCTATGACATGTAGTTTTGCCATCACAGCTCCAAAAAATAGAACATCAAATCATTGTCATGGGGCCCCTATCAAAATGCAAGTGAAGAACATGATGATTTGATAGAATTGAGCCTTCTGAAGGAAGATTAACCCCCCAAACTATTATTGTCAGTGCTATTTCAACAATGTTTAAGGAAACGTCCTAATGAAGCGGACAATAACAATTTTGTCATTCCCAGGCCAAAGGGTTCAACTATATGAAACAACTACTGCATGCGGGAACTACTTGAAAATGTAGAATGATGAGGATTAATCAATGAAGGTCCAGGCAGAATTGCTTTCTTGGACATGTTCTTACTCAATAGTTGATTCAGTTTAAAACACGATGATTATAATCAATCAAGAATACTTAGCTAATTTGATTTCTATGAAAAATACCTTCCGTCAGTGGGGTTTAGCTACTTTGCTGATTACTCCCTCCAAGTCCTCGTTAATATACTTTTCAGTCTATTCCCGGAGAGCCTCTGTAAGGCCTTCTTAGCTCCGGCCACCTCCATTTCTGCCAATATCCGCAAATGCCCATAGGCTCCAGCAGCCATGAGAGTCTTCCGGCAACTCTGACTCCCTCCGGACATAATCGCCGCCACCACTGTCACTGGAAACTTCTTTGAAGCAAGCTCATTCTTGGGATCCAGCATTAGCATCAGTCTCATCACACATTTCTCATCCCTTACTAATTCTTTCCTATTCAATTTCACTGATAACAACGACACCAAAGCATTTGTTGCCACTTCCTGTAGCCCATTGGGCTTTGCAGACTCCATCAACTTCACTAAAGACCCCATACACCCGCCTATAGCTCTCTTATTATCATCACTTATCGACAATTTAGAAAGCAATGAAGCAGAAATGTGTTGCAACATTATGTTACCATGTTTTATAAGCTCCGAGATTTCTACAATAAACGAGGTCGATCCTAATAAAATTTGGTCGCTTACATCTGATTCAGATAAGGAATAAACAGCACGTAAAACATGTTCTAATGTATCTGAATTTGAGGATTCATGAAGCAATTGTAGCAAGCTTTGCAAAGCCTTTTCTTTTACCAACAAATCGCGAAAATTCTTACCCGATAAAGCAATTATAGCAATACAATTCGCGGCCTTTTCTTGTGCGGAGGGGGTTCCGAAGACAAGTAACTGTACCAAAACAGGAATGGCTCCCTCTTCTGCTAATGCAATTCGAATTTCTTCAACAGTAGAAACATTCTTAATAGCACCAATTGAGTGTGATTGAGCAATCCCTGATCCAGATTTACACAATTCTAATAGAATCGACACACCCCCATAGGCCGAAATTGCCCAAGCATTATCAGTATCCGCAGTGATAAATTCGACCGCCATTGCAGCTTTTTCCTTCGCAGGCATAGTGCTACACTCGATGATCCTCAACAATGGCCCCAAAGCCCCCTCCTCAAACACACATTTCCTCGAAAAATCACTCATCGAAACAAGCATCGACACAGCAAGCACAGCAAGTTCTCTTAAAGAGTCTTGAGAATTAGAATCCAGCAACTGAATCAAGAACCTCATATTCCCTTCTTTCGCAACAACACTTGCAGACTTTTCGTCATCCGAAAGAAGCTGAACCAATGAATCCAATGCATCCCGCTTGAAGTCAAGGCTCCCGATCTGGAGCCTGATGAAAAGATTTTTAACGAAAAAAGAGAGGTCGTCCTTTGAGGAGTTTGCAGTAGGATGGGGAAGAACAATAGCAGTGGATTGATGGAGAACCCCAGAACGTAGTAGAAAGTCGAGGTCGTTAATTTGCTTGGACAACCAATCAGTGGTCATGTCGAGGTCGGATTGCATAAGGAGCTTTCCGGGATTGAACGAAGGATCGCAACATTGATGGCAAAGGGTCTGCGTACGATAAACAGTGGAGAGAAGATTGGGGAGGAGAGAATGGATTAAAGGGTTGTCGGACCAGTGCGGGAAGTACGAGATTTCAGAGAGGAGGGATTTTAAGGAGGCAAGTTTTCTCCGGAGGATTTGCCATCTGGAGGTGAAGGAGATTACGGAGAGAGTCGACGGGAGTAGCTGACTCAGAAGCTGGATTATCTTGTCACATATTTCCGCCGGTTGCGGCGGTGAAGTGGTGGTGGAATGCATTTGCGCTTGGATCTTTTTGTTACTTTTTGGTGGTGGGAAAATGAATGTGGAATGACACGAGATGGGTAAATGTGTGAGGTTTAAAGTAGAGGAGAAATGGAGGGAATGGAGTAGACAGGAAGGCCGTGGGGTTGGGGAGTCACGCTTGGGAGTGACAAGAGAATGGTAAAAAGTTTTGAAAAGTTTTTTGCCAACTGGTGAGCTCTATCCGAGGTTGAAGTTCGGTTTATCTTATGTTTTAATCCCACGTCAACTTAAAAAATGAAGATAACAGTGATATATTAAACACACGTGATAATGTTCACAATATTTCAAATTACGAATCCCTCAAGCTACGTTGCCTAGGATACCTTGGATGCTAGGTGGGTAGAAGGGAGAAACGAAGTGCGTGAACGGACCCACACCACATCCAAAGTATCATGACTTAACTGGTTTGATATGTCGTAATTTCATTAAACGATTCTATCATTTATACATTTAGCATCTATAGAATCATCATATTGTCCCAGTGACATCTGATTATGTCACATATTTATTTGGCAACTTAAATAAATAAATAAATTTTGAAAAATGGAAACCGGGCTAAAGTTGTTAATAATAATATGATTTAAGTGTAGCAAAAGTTTAGTTTAGTACAATCTAGTCTAGTTTGTTAAAAAAAATGAACCGTATGTGTACAGACAAATTTGTCAGATAAAGTTACAGATTGCCAAATGACAATATTTCATTGAAATTTGGTCAAAAGATAAATTTAAGACTGTCACTACCCTGGCAATACAAGACCCCCGTTTGTTTCTCATTTTTCATATGACCGTTATCCATCACATCAAGCCATCAATTTTGAATTTCTATCTCTTGTGTGGGGCTCAATAACGACTATATTTTTCATTCTCATTCTATAATAATGAGAATCAAACGGGATTCCAAAAAAAAAAAATAACACCCCAAAGACAAAAATGAACATCTGACGAAAGGAAAGTGAGTACTGAGTACACACTTTATTGTCAACATAGTATAGTATACGAGTCTTTGACTTGTACACTTCGACTTTAACTATGGACCTATGGTTATTAGATTAATCGGATTCTTAGACCACGTTTAGCTTACCTTAAAAGAATGCAAAAATAGTTAATACAAGTGAAATACTGTCAAGAAAAGTTGCTTATTTTGTAAAAGCATAGCCGAATGTTCTTAATCTTTTCTAGGATTTACCTATAAAATTTTCATATTTTGTAACTAATTAACGATCTTTGTGCACCTTATAGTAAAATGTCAAGTTATAATTGATAAAATAATCACACTCATAAGATACAAAGTTATGTAACTTGTGCATATTTTTGTTAAAAATTAGATTTTTAATGAATTTTAATAAAAAAATTGATGAAATATATGATTAAAAAGTTAATAAAAATTATAAGTCTCATGAAATGTATAATTAAAANGTCAACATCCGTTAGTACAACTAATGGACGGAAATTGTCTATTGATCTATTAGATTGTGTCCTTAAACATTGTGATGCAATCATATCACATCTCAACTGAACATGAAATAATATTCCAAATTGTCTTGGATTGACAATTCAAAGTTGAACACAATGTCATTCCGTACTTATATCACAGTATAGTGACTAACTAGATACATTTTGAAGTGACCGAACATTTTGAAGTTCAATGATTTTTATGAGCATTCTATAAATTTTAGAGACGAACCAAATTTTTAACCCGAATTTCATTACGACACACATAATCATTAGCAAAACCTATTATTATTGTTGCTGCATATTTGTGCAAACTTATTGCAACATAAATAAATCACTTACTTGAACCTTAATTTTATTTGATTGCATCAGTCATTTTATTATTTATGTCCACTATTCTTTCTTGATCATTGGTGAACATGATTATTAATTAAAATATGAACTCCAATCGAAATATTATGCTCATCAATCAATTGATAGATAAAAAAACTTAACTCTAATTTAGAGATCGACTATAAATTTATTTACCAATGAATTGATGCGTCATGTCACAGTTTATGTGATTATAGGATATACACTATAAATTACTCATAGATAAGTTTAACATAATTATAAGATTAGACAAACGTTACCTAAGTTGAATGCATTGAAAAATCCAATTAGCTCTTTGAAAATATAGAAATCCGATGTTTTAATAGAATAAAATAAATATCGTTTTCAATTTGAATTTCAGAATTTTACACAGTTGGCGCGTATCCCACATCCGTTAAATATTCGAAACTGCAATTTCCTCGTGGAAGGGATAAAAAGAAGCCAACCTCCAGGAAAAAATTTAAACTTGTTGCTTTGCTGCACTTTCAATGGACATGCTCCCCATTGGATGAACTAGAATCTGCTGATAAATCGAAGTAGCCAGTACAATTCCTGAAATTCAAAGAAAGTACGACAACCAACAAACATCAAACTAATTCTTGTTCCCTTTAAAAATTGGAATCAACTGCATGAATCCTTTTCTTGACTCCATTCAAATTAGTGGAAAGCACATACCAGAAATGAGAGAGAAGCATGCACCTGTGGCTTTAGAGGATTATAGAGACAACAACTGAGACTTGTGATCAATGCCATTGAAGATAAAAGTCCCACACAAGGGAACAAATTGTCTCGTGATGAGCTGTAGTTTTAGACAATGCGCTCAATTAGTATTTAAACCAATTGCAAGCATTTGAAATAATAGTTTGAAGTTAAAATTTCTAAGAGAGAGTCCAGATATGTTGTCCCGAATTTCTGTCCCCCAAAACATTTTGACACCTCCACACATCATCTCTTCTTGGTAAACAGGAAGCCACGAAGAAGTGATGTGGCGAGTTGTCAAAAATGTATTTTGAGAACAGCCAAGGGAGCAAATTCGGGACAACAGATCTCAACTAAGAGAATTTTAACCAAAAGACCAAAAAACCTTATAACGTACAAGTAATGATTTCTTTATCGAGTGGCAAATATTATTTGTGTAATGATCAAACAATATTCATTGAAAGATTATACATGTCAAGTGATTGGAAAATGAGAGAGCACAAACCTTGATTACTTCTTGTGATGCAATGCCCCCAACGAAGGCAGCCACAGCATGAAGTTCTGCAGCACCATATCGGCACATCTCATTAATAAGGTCTTCTGTTAAGGTTGACCCATTGCAACCCAAGTCACCAAGTAGGGCGACTGCTATTGTTTTCAATCTGGATATGTCCTCATCCATCTCACTGCAGAATATTTAAGAACAATTTTGTAGTCTCGAGGTACTGTGGTCAAACGAAACACGGAGATATGTAGCTAAGGCTTTAGGTTTTACCCATCAAATTGCCCAGGGAAACTATTGTAGTTTGCAGCATAACGATCTGCACCTCGTAGTAGAATATAGAATCCAACAGCAACACTGAGGTATATAGTGCAAACAGCAGTACGTAAATGAAATTTTCGATTTTTGCTAGAGAGAAATTCATGCCAAGTATTATATCAAGTTTGCTATAACCTCAGATTTTCCAATCCATCGCCTCTTTCTTTGCAATAAGCAACTCGTTAATGCACATGACTTGGGGTAATTAGCTGGATTTTGAGAAGGTTTGTTAATTGCATATTACAAAACACAGGCTAGAAATTTTTCCCATTATGTCCTCAAACATTTATGTCACATGTATCATTTTATGGAACCAAACCTACCCAGACCTCCATTTTCCCAGTCACTGCAGGGAAGGAAGTTACCAGACTTGTACCCCAAGAACTGATGTCATAAAATGATCGTGAAGCATGATTGTTCAGAAGTTAGAGAGCCACGTGATAAAAGTTTTTGCACAAACAGAAGATGCCATAGCTCAAACAGAATAAACTGACTTCCGTCTTTTTAGAGGAATAATATGTGCATGTCTGCAATATTATTTATTAGGGAAGAATTAAGGAGCCTTTCGTCTTCTTTTCACTTCTTTTTCTTTTGGTATGGTAGGGCTAGTGGGGGTGGGGATTGGAAGAGAGGTGAAGGAACAGGAGCAACACTCTTCGGCTCCACAAGTAAACATTACTTTCCTGGTAAATTTTTCATAAATTCTTCCTCAGCCATGAACAGATGGTCTGTTGAAACCCAGCCTTCCTGTGCCTCCGAACAATTACCAGACCTTTGCCAATTCCCTCAACATTTGTGCATTAACCTTTTCCTGTCCCTGAACGTTAGTCCATTTCAGCGTATCAAAATGAGTTTTTTTTCTTCCTCATGATATTAATCTTAAACTACAGCCACAAAATTCATTTTTCAGCCAATATTCATTTTCCAGCCCTGACCAGAAAATATTTGCGCCTTCATCCCCCATTCAACTTATTCACTGCTATATAAAACCCAACGGACCAGTTCACAAGGAGCCGAGTTTCTTGAAGAACCTCTGCCTACAAAGTAATTTGGTTTCTATTGCGAGTCACCAAGAGCGCCCAGACATAACCCATCTCCAAAGCCTAATACCAAAGACATCAGATATTCATTTGATTTCAAACCTCTACTTTCCCAGAAATAATACTCTCACCAGTCTCACAGTAACTCTAGACAGCAAATCTCTACAACAATATTCTACTAAGTAAAAGTACCACTATCCAGCATAGCTGATGAAGAGGAGGCCTTTAAACGAAGCAGGTTCATCCTTTCATCTCAGAAAGTTAAAATGATCTTAAGGTAAATAGTCCTCAGACATTTCATAGTGAACAGGGCTACATATGTTCTATCTGTTGATTCTGGACAATAGTAAGGCTATGCATACCTGTACTCCTCGTCCGTTAGATACTTTTGTAACTCTGGTTGAACTGGAGAATTGAACTCATCCTCAATGGGGCGATATCTACATACCTAAGAATATCAAATAAAAAATTTACAAAAAGAAGCTTAAATATATTGAAGATCATGCTCGAACCAGGGGTAGAACTAGCTATATTCAAGACATTTTGATTGAATATGTAGTCCTTTTACAATGCTCATTTCGTTCATCAATA